CCCCAAAACCCCAAAACCCCAAAACCCCAAAACCCCTATTTTTGTGATAAAATTGAAATGGAAATATCTTCTTGCTTACTTAGTTGCAATTATCACTAATGTCTCCCAGCTCATAAGTTCTGATGTATCGTTGCCATATCTCTCCTCATACATTTGGTAGAATGTTAGTTTGAGGTGTTCTCTTTCCTCAGAAGTGCAATTCTTTAAGGATAATTGAGCATTTGCAGAAGAGACTGAATAATCATATGCCTCATTAACTGTAGGAAATCATGGATTGGTCATTGTGTAGAATCCCTTTACTTCTTTAAATCCCACTTCTTTGATATCTTTGATTAGGAAACCTTTGTCACTTAATTTAAAAGTAAGTGTAGACCCTGAGGTATATTCGATACCTGCTTCTTTGAAGACTTCACATACAAATGTGAGCATAGTGCAGTTCTCTTCTCGACCCCAAACACTGAAGGCTGCTGCGCCACCTTCCTCAACTACTCGGTATGCTTCGGTTAACTGGTTCTTATAATTAGGCACGATCATTAATGATAGTCAGGCAATATATAAATCAAAAGAGTTATCAGAGAATGGAAGACATTCATTATTTGCTCTTCAACTGAAAATCCTTTTCAAAAAATTGTCTTCAACATTGTTGATTTCTTGATCAACATCAATTACATCACTCTCTTCAAGAGTGACAAGTTTAACTTCTGGATCAGAAGCAGTGTCGGTTTCAAGAAATCTTTGAACAAAGATTTCATTCATTTTCTCTGAAATATCCGATACAAAGAACGAACAGTGCTTCTTCATCAAATAAGATATAAAAATCCTCGCTGCGAGCCCTCAACCAGCTCCTACCTCTAAAATCTTCGAAGCTTTATGAGCTCTTGCCGCACTATACAAATTAAAAGAGCTCTGGATGCTAACTTTCTCCACCGTATCTTCATACCCATACGCCCAGTCATTAAACTTCTGTCTCAAAAATGCCATTCTCTCATGATCAACTTCTAAACCTCCTCCCTTCATCCAACCTCTCTCTTCCATCTTCCAAATAATCTCTCAATATTTTCTCCCAAAATCGGGGTTTTGGGGTTTTGGGGTTTTGGGGTTTTGGGG